ACCAGTTCCTCTGGAGGGCCAACAACAGGGCAGAGAGGCAGAGGCCTTCATAAGAACATCAGAAGAGCCCTGCTGGCTCAGACCAGTGGTCCATCCAGTCCAGCATCCTGTCTCACACAGTGTCCGACCAGTTCCTCTGGAGGGCCAACAACAGGGCAGAGAGGCAGAGGCCTTCATAAGAACATCAGAAGAGCCCTGCTGGCTCAGACCAGTGGTCCATCCAGTCCAGCATCCTGTCTCACACAGTGTCCGACCAGTTCCTCTGGAGGGCCAACAACAGGGCAGAGAGGCAGAGGCCTTCATAAGAACATCAGAAGAGCCCTGCTGGCTCAGACCAGTGGTCCATCCAGTCCAGCATCCTGTCTCACACAGTGTCCGACCAGTTCCTCTGGAGGGCCAACAACAGGGCAGAGAGGCAGAGGCCTTCATAAGAACATCAGAAGAGCCCTGCTGGCTCAGACCAGTGGTCCATCCAGTCCAGCATCCTGTCTCACACAGTGTCCGACCAGTTCCTCTGGAGGGCCAACAACAGGGCAGAGAGGCAGAGGCCTTCATAAGAACATCAGAAGAGCCCTGCTGGCTCAGACCAGTGGTCCATCCAGTCCAGCATCCTGTCTCACACAGTGTCCGACCAGTTCCTCTGGAGGGCCAACAACAGGGCAGAGAGACTGAGGTGTCCCCTTGATGTTGCCTCCTGGCTCTGGGATTCAGAGGCTTAATGCCTCTGAATGTGGAGGTTCCCCTCAGTCACCATGGCTACTAGCCATTGATAGACTTGTCCTCCATGAATCTATTTAATCCTCTTTTCAAGATGTTTATCCCCGTGGCTATCACTACGTCCTCTGGCAGTGAATTCCACATTTTAATTACAAGCAGTATCTAGTTAACTTAACTAAGTAACTAACTGTGTAGCTATCTAAATAACTCACTAAAGTACTTTCAGGTGGGTTCGCTGTGTTGGTCTGAAGCAACAGAATGAAGCTTGAGTCCAGGGGCACCTTTAAGACCCACAAAGCTTGATTCTGGGTAGAAGCTTTCGTGTGCAGGCACACTTCTTCAGATGCCTGAAGAATATCTGAACTTGAACCCTGGGGCAAGTCACAATCACAACCTCAGCCCCCACTTCCACCCCCATGGCATGATGGGAATATTCACACCACCTTGCCTAACAGGGCCGTTGTGAGGATTATCTCAGCAGTCTTTGTGCTGGAGCTCTCGCGCCATTGTTTCCCTGCGCCACACCCAGCCCTTCTCGTTTTAGGCAGCAGGTGAACTATTTAGTAGGAAAGAGCAAGAGTCCAGCAGCACCTTGAAGACTCACAAAACTTGTGGCAGGGGAGGAACTTCTGAAAAAGTGAGCCAGTGACTCACGAGAGCTCCTCCCCTGCCACAAATTTTGTTGGCCTTTCAGGTGCTCCTGGACTCTTGCTCTTTTCTGCTGCCACAGACAGACAGACAAACAGGGCTACCCATCTTGATCCCTACCCATTTACTCCACACCCACCCACCAAGGTTCCCTCTAAGCTGTGGAGTCCTGTGAGCAAAAATTCTACTTTGTGAGCTACTTGCATTAAAGTTGTGAGCAAGCAGTTTGGCTCCTGCATAAATTAGTGTGCTCTGGAGCCCTCCTTCCTGAGCTAAGGCAAAAATGTGTGAGCTGGAGGCTAAAAAGCTGTGAGCTAGCTCACACTAACTCAGCTTAGAGGGAACACTGCCACCCACCCCAAGTTCTGGTTCACACGGTCTACTTTTGTGCCTCCTGTTGACTTTTGATAAGCAACGTGAGACTGTAACAAGCATTGCTTGGGGGGGTAGGTTGAAGGGCAGCATTTAAAATTATGTTTTACTGATCAGAAGCCACCCCGGAAAACACTGGGCTGAGAAGTCTGCGGGGCAAATGTTTCCGAGCAAATTAAATGTAAGCGCCAGATAGGAGGCAGCAGGGATCCCATGTCCCGCACGCTTCTTTGCCCCACTGCTAAGAGAAAAAGGCCAAAACGTGGAAAAAGAAGCAAAGACGCAGAGATATTTTTTTGGGGGTAATGCGAGATCTTGTCCATGGGGTCGTGAAGAGTCGGACCCGACTGTGCGACTGAACAACAACAACTTCTCTTATTCTGGAATTCGGTGCCACTTTAGCTATTCTGGGGGAATGGACTGTGGGGGTGCACTTAAGTTATGCTCCGTTGCCCTTTTGGTCCGCCTAGGCTAGTCGTGTCTACTCCGACGGGCAGTGGCTCTCCAAGGTGCCAGGTTCTATGGGGATCCTTTTAAAATACTGATGCCAGGAGCTGAGCTGGGGAACTTCTGCACCTGAATATTTGCTCTGCTACCAAGCTACTACCCTTCCCCCACACATTATCTGCTTCTGCTACTACCCCCCAGCCCCCCACACACACCCTCTGTCACTGGGGAGAAGGATCCCTGGATCGGCTTGACAGCAGTCTATGGACGATTCTGCATCTAGCATTTGCTCCACTTTTTCTCAACGCTGAGGAAAAGGTGCAGCTCAAAATCACAATCAGATACCCCACAGCAACGCTGTACTGACGGCAAAGTCGCCCCGGAACAGCCATAACTCTATGCAGAAGGTAACACAGAACCCAATGAACAAAGAGAGTGAAAGCGGCATGCAGTGTAGAGGGTACCATAAAACCCGATGATCAGAGAAAGTGAAAGCAGCATGCGATGCAGAGGGGAATTTCTGCTCCAAGGTGGGTTTCGTAAAATTACAGAAGGATGGGTGGGCCGAATCACCCTACGTCATCATGCTCTCCACGCTGGCTGGTAGAACTCCTTGCTCCCCAGGGCAGACCCCAGTCTTGGTTCTTTACTGGTCGCTGATGATATTCACAGAACACGGAGCTCCTGGTGAGGGAGCCCCAGATGCGAGAACTGGACCTACAATAAGCAAAGGCAATGGGGGAGTTCCACCCGCCTTGTGTCGCCTCCCTCACTCACCAGGTAGTCCATACAGTGCTTCCTGACCACTTCGTGCATGTCTTGGTCGCCGTATACCTGGTCAGCTGTAAGGAAGAAATGGAAGATTGTCAAGGCCATTCGAGAACTGTTTGGAGGGGGGGGGGAACACATTAGCGAATGAAGGAGGAGTTGGTTTTGATACCCTGCTTTTCTCTACCTTAAGGAGTCTCAAAGCGGCTGACTATCTCCTTTCCCTTCCTCTCCCCACAACTGGCACCTGGTGAGGCAGGCGGGGCTGAGAGTGTCCTGAGAGAACGGTGACTGGCCCAAGGTCACCCAGCAGGCCTCATGTGTCTCAAAGTGGCTGACAATCACCTTCCCTTCCTCTCCCCACAACCAGCATCTTGTGAGGCAGGTGGGGCTGAGAGAGTCCTGAGAGAATGGTGACTGGCCCAAGGTCACCCAGCAGGCCTCATATGTCTCAGAGTGGCTGACAATCACTTTCCCTTCATCTCCCCACAACAGGCACCTTGTGAGCAATGCTCCCTCTAAGCTGTGGAGTCCTGTGAGCAAAAATTCTACTTTGTGAGCTACTGGCATCACAATTGTGAGTGAGCGATTTGGCTCCTGCATAAATTAGTTTGCTCTGGAGCCATCTTTCCCGAGCTAAGACAGAAATCTGTGAGCTGGAGGCTTAAAAACTGTGAGCTAGCTCACACTGACTCAGCTTAGAGGGAACCACTGCTTGTGAGGTAGGTGGGGCTGACTCCCGAGAGAACAGTGATTGGCCCAAGGTCACCCAGCAGAGTTCATGTGGTGGAGGAGTGGGGAAATAAAACCCGGCTCTCCAGATTAAAGTCTGCTGCTCTTAACCATTACACCACGCTGGCTCCGAATAAAGCTCAGAGAAACCCCATTTTCTCCACATTTGCTGTGGACCCTTAAGCGAAGCCGCTGATCTAAGGACGTGAGCAAGGAGCGGAGTCCGGCTCCAGTCTCCAACGAGCATCTTAACACTGTAAAAACCCTGGCTCTGAACTGTGTCTGAATGAACTCCCCCCGCTCTGCATGCTGTGCCTCTGCTTCCCTTCCTCCGGGACAGCAGGCCCAGCCAACAGATCAAGCCTAAGGGCAATGCAACACTTCCGGTCTCTTCCAAAAAGCAAGGTGATAAGAAACGCATGGCTCTCAGACTGGGGCTGCCTGGCGGAGCACAGTGCATCTGGGGTCGGGAAGAAGTTCCCCTTCCCTTGCCGAAAGGAGGACTGGCTAATGGCTGACGGTGGGATTTGTCCCTACAGAATGCGAGTACTCTCTCTGGGTACCTTCTGCAACACACTTTTCACCCCCTGGGTAGAACACACCATTAGACAAGGATCAGTCCTCTTAACCAAGTGTCTTGTTTCTGGCAGAAAACAATGTGCTGATTCCTACCTCGAAAAGAAGAAGAGATTGGATTTATACCCCACCCTTCACTACCCAGAGGAGTCCCAGAGCGGCTTACAAACTCCTTTCCCTTCCCCTCCCCACCACAGACACCCTGTAAGGTAAAAGAAGAAGAGATTGGATTTATATGCTGCCCTTCACTACCCAAAGGAGTCTCAGAGCAGCTCACAAACTCCTTTCCCTTCCCCTCCCCACCTGTGAGGCAGGTGGGGCTGAGAGAGCTCTGACAGAAACTGCTCTTTTTCAAGAACAGCTGTGCCAGAGCTACGGCTTGCCCAAGGCCACCCAGTAGCTGCGAGTGGAGGAGTGGGGAATCAAACCCGGTTCTCCCAGTTTAGAGTCCGCGCTCCTAACCACTACACCAAACTGGTTGGTTTACGGTTTGAAAAGTTATTTGGCCTCTGGAGGAATTTTAAGTCATTGCTATTTTCTTCTTCTTTTTTTAATGCAAATTATTTTCACAGAAAAAGGGTGGGATACAAAAGGGAAAAGGGTGTGTGTGTGGGAATATAAATTCATCAAGTCTGTCAAATAATGTAAGTTGTTATGTACAACAAGTAAAATCAGATATACTACCAAATATATTACATATTTCAAATATAGAAGCAGACGTGAAAGAATAAATAAGAACTTCCAAGGTCAGCGATAATCTATTAGCGATAAAAGAAATTACATCTTTAACAACTGAACAAACTTCTATGCTAAAACTGAATCACTGTAAAATCCTCAATATTGTCTTAACTGTTGATCTAAATCTAAATTATATTCTTAGTAATTATTTAATTACTAGTAAGTCATTGCTATTTTCTTTTTTATTGGCAGGTCGTGTCCTCTCGGTTTGTATCTGAGGCACCTCCTCCCTGCGTGCAAGAGAGGTTTTGGTCAACAAAAGCCTTTGCTGACTAATCTGTCACTTAAACAGACTAAACCTCACAGCCCAGGGTTTCAGGATGAGTGGGGCAGGGCCAGGCAGGGAGGCAGGAACGAAACTGACCAGAGGCTGCCTTGAAACTGACAGATGTGCTGAAAAAAAGAAAAGAAAAAAGGTTTCTCTGCCATCAGAGCAACTCTTTGCAGGGGTGCAAACAGGAAAAGCCCTCCGATGGCGGCTTTGCAAGGGTCACAGAACTCAAGGGCCAAACTGAACGAAGCTGGAAAGGTCTCTTTTTTTGGGGGGGGGGGGTATTTTTGTATTTTGTGTGCAGGCATGTGTGTGTCTCCAGCTGGAAGCCATGGCAACCTCTGGCGACTGACCCCTACTGGAGGCCTGGAGGATATTCAGAGAGGTGGCTGAATAAAGCCTGCCCCCGCCTCTGGTATTCTAAGGAGTTCTCCCATCCAAGTACCTGCGAGAGTCGACCCTGCTTAGCTTCCGAGGTCGGGCTTGCCTGAGCTAACCAGGTCAGGGCTTTTCTGGTGACTCTTGTTTTGTTTTTGTTTTTTGTATTTTTCATGTATGTGTGTCTGAGTGTGTGTGCACCGGGAAGTCATGGCGACCTCTGGCGACTGACCCCTACTAGGGGCCTGGGGGCTGAATGGAGCCTGCCCCCGCCCCCCGACTGCTGGTATTCCAAGGAGGTCTCCCAACCAGGTACTTGCCAGAGTCGACCCTGCTTAGCTTCCGAGATCTGGCAAGATCGGGCTTGCCTGGGCTATCCAGGGCAGGGCTTTTCTGGTGACTCTTGTTTTGTTTTTCTTTTTTTGCATTTTTCATGTATGTGTGTCTGTCTGAGTGTGTGTGCACTGGGAAGTCATGGCGACCGACCCCTACTGGGGGCCTGGAGGGTATTCAGAGAGGTGGCTGAATAAAGCCTGCCCCCGCCTCAAAGCTCTGGTATTCCTCGGAGGTCTCCCATCCAAGTACTTGCCAGAGTCGACCCCGTTTCGCTTCCGAGATCTGATGAGATCGGGCTTGCCTGGGCTATCCAGGTCAGGACGGAAGGTGTACTGAAAGGCAGCTGGCCGAGGGCGGTCAGGGGCGTCAAAAAGAAACGAGACGGAAGTGCCAAAATTCCGTGCAGTCAGTTACCTAGGTTCTGTTTACAACACGGCTGTAACGGCTTCCAGAAATCTGTAGTTGATATGCAAGGGGAAGGCCGTGATCTCAGAATGGGGACTTACCGCAGGGATTCCCAAACGCTGCCATTTCTAGTCTGCCTGACCTAACAGTCAAACTAGAACTCTCATTAGGCATAACCAAGCGAAAACAGATAGCAAGCTGATCTAAGACCCCGGGACACTCGGAGCAAAAGAGGGGAAAAAACACTCGCTCTTTCTGGGAGTGAGGATCCTGGGGGAGCCGTTGACCAGAGCAGCAGAGCCCGTGGACCCCGGTGGGGGTGGGGAGGTGTAACAGTTGTCTGCAGCCCTGCTGGTCAAAAACCACCCTCCCCAAATCCAGCAAGGTCCACGCAACGTCTTCTATTAGAAAGGTAAAGCGTGCTGTCGAGCTGCGGCCGATTCACGGCGGCGACTCCACAAAGTTCCGCCTTGTGGGGTTTTCAAGGTAAAACGGAAAGGATTCGAGAGAGCGTCTCTACACAGGCAATAGGGCTGCACTGGACAAAACGGTTCACTTCAGTTACTTAAAGAAATTATTACGGACTGTGCTCCTACTATGCCATTCTGCACCGTTTGATGTGCCGTGAACAAAGTATGACCCGGTGGCACCTTCGAGACCAACCGAGTGTTAATCAAAGTGTGTAAAGGCTGATTGCTTTGCTTCCGTTCTGCTTTGCGATTTCTGATTGGTTCCACGACACTAGTCCTATTGCATTGCCGACGGAACGCCCCATCCTGTCGATCGTATTGACTCGCTTTGCGTAATCCGACCTGAGTCCATAAGAACATAAGAACATAAGAGATGCCAATGTTGGATCAGGCCAAAAGCCCATCCAGTCCAACACTCTGTGTCACACAATGGCCAGAAATACCAGGTGCCATCAGGAGGTCCACCAGTGGGGCCAGTACATTAGAAGCCCTCCCACTGTTGACCCCCCCCCCAAGCACCAAGGTGACAGAGCATCACTTGCCCCAGAGCCCCTATCTATACCTTGTGGCTAATATCCACTGATGGACCTCTGCTCCATATGCTTATCTAATTCCCTTTTGAAGCCGTCCATGCTTGTAGCCGCCAAGTGAGAAAGGCGGACTGTCAGTAATATAAATAAAATAAAATAAAGACGTGCGCAAAGGTGGTTTGCCATCGCCTTCCTCTGCACAGCGGCCCCAGTCTCCCTCGGGGGCCTCCCCTCCGAGGGCTGACCGTGGCCGACCCTAGAGGCTGGCTGGCTGCAAGAACCCACGGTGTTCTGAACTGCTGAAATGCAGTGTATCTACACTGAAATTTCATATTGTACTTTATTTCACAAAACGTATATCCTGCTTTTCTGCCCTGACAGGGGCCACTGAGGTCGCTAGGAAACTAAAAACACACAGGAAAAAAAAATCACAATTCAAACCATTAGAATTAACACGTATGCATAGAATCCACCTCATACATATAATTAAAACCAGAGCTAAAAATAAGTAAAAAGACACAAAAACAATAATTAAAACACACAGAAGCGGAATGCAAGGAAGGGTACCTCAAGGACCCTTCTTGCCCGGCAGAATGTACATTTAAGGCAGAGGTTTTAATTGCTCATTACTTTTATGC